TTCTTATTATTATTGTTTTATTATATTTGTAAATATTTTTGACATTCAAACTTAGGTATATACTATATAGAGTATATTTGGTACATTGGCATGCACAGCCCGTTGTGGCAGAATGTTACTTGAAACAAGTTATTTAGGTATTGCACGCCTATGATTTGGTATATATTCTATACACTATAGTACTATACAGTATATAAGCAACAGGTATAGCCAATACCTATTGCTTACATACACGTCTCAACTCTCAAGATTAATAAAATGTTTTCAAATTAAAACATTGGGGTACCTAGATAATAATTAATATGTTTAAACACTTTAATATTTAATAAATAATTTCAAATACCCATAAAATATTTATTTAAGAAGACTCTACACCCATATGCTTTGTCTCCATCTTCAAACTCATAATTGAACTCAAACATTGAATAAACCATTAACTCATAAAAAAAAAAAACAACAGTATGAGATTCACTAGATTAGGTATATTCTTTATTTTAAATTTGATAGTAGGTACTTACTACTTATAAGTAGGTACCTACTTAATGTCCTAATCTATGTTATGTATTATGATACTCATTGTACATTATAGTTTTATTAGGTATAAATATTTTCCTAGATATTAATTTGAATTAATTTTTATTGAAATTTTATTAGATAATGAAATTGATGAAAGCGCTTTTAGAGATTTGACTGAGTCTATGGTTCGTGAAATTGTTTTACCGATAGGACCTCGATCAAAAATTTTTAAAAAAATTGAAGATTTAAAAATTTCTTCAAACTTGGTAAGTTTGTATTCTATACTGTTAGGATTTTTATTATGATTTTTAGGTATTATATTACTGAACTAGTGTAATCAAATATGATAGTTGGGTTAGTATTTTTACTATTTTTACAAGATTCAAAAAGGAAATCTTGGCCTGAATTTTAGTTTTCATTTGGATAACATAATACCTGTAATATTTAAAATAAATCATTAAATTCTATTACCTACTTACAGTTAACTAATATTATTATATTTTACAGACTGATGTTACTAGAAATAAAGTTGATTTGTTTTCTGATAATGATAAATATTTGTTTGATACGCAATGCATTTTACCCATCAATTTAGATAATACAAATCCTGATCAAGTAATGCCATTATTACAATACATTTATGCTCATGATTTTCAATTAAATTAACTATCAATTACCAATTATAATATATAATGATTACAGTTTGGAATAAGTTCCTTATTAGTGCTTTTTAAACGTGAACCATCTAATATTATGATTATAATATAAGGTGAATACTAAATCAAGTTATATAAATCCATATATTTACAAAAATAAATATTTAATATAGGTAATCATTATATTAATAATTTTATAAATTGTATATTATAATACTTAGATTTACACAATTTAGTATAGTTTGAAATTTAATCATATGCTATAACTTTCAGTAGGTACCTTTAATTTCTATTTAATTATTATAATTTACCTAGCATTTTTTTTAGCCCTCAATAGGTAACACCTTAATGAACCTTGATTCTATGTCAACGGTTGACATTAATACACCAAGTACTAGTTATAGTAATAATAATGTCCAATGTTTCCTCGAATGTTTCCCTACTGAAAAAGTGATGATTTCCATGGATGATTCAACCTTGGTTCAAAGTTTCAGTGATACTGTATGAATTTTTGTCTTAATAACTTATACAGCTAAGTATTCTTGGTTTAAATGAATTATTATTTTTTTTCTGAAACAGGTTAAGTTAAGAGATATTTTATTAAATTATCACGATGGTCAAATGATTTTAGACAGTTATGAAAATCAAAATGAGTTGAATGGCAAATTGAGAAATAAATTAAGCCATTTGATAATAAGTTATTCACTTAAAGAAAGTATAGAAAAAAAAATATCTCGAGAAAAATTTGGATTATTATCTCAAGCTATCTCAATATTATTTCCAAATGAAAATAAAGAAACTTATTATACTCCTTATAAAAAAGAGTCTACAAGGGTAACTCCTGCTCGTGAAAATTTCATGTATACACGTTCATTTGTTACGAGTAAAGACCGGATTTATATGTTTTTACATATTGTTATTGGGTCTATATGCAGTCTTATGAGAGTAAAAAATGTGGACGATTCGTTCAATTCTGAATGTGTAGAAAAAAGTTTTTTTTTGCATATTTGAGAATATTTCATGGGTTGGAGAATATTTAACCCATTTAGTATATTTTGGAATATTTCGTAAATTGTGAACTAAAATTTGTATTTATTTTTATTAATTTTAATATTACGGTACTCTGAAAAATTTTTTTGACCATTACAATTTATTTTTTTTTTTCATTTTAATAAAAATAATACACGCAGTATTATCAAGGTTTATCTATGTATATCTACTGATAAGATCAACTTATAAGTTTATCAAATATTCAAATAAGTATCAAAATTTTGTTTTTGTGTTTTAATATTATACTGTTATATTTATATTATATTATATTCCAACTTCTTACTCTTGCTAAAGTGCAATACTATTCCATTAGGTATAATATGCAACTCTTAATACCTAATTAATATCTCACTATAAAAATATAGTTGAAAATAAAATTTTAAAAAATAAATGCATATTAAAGCATATACCTAATGATCAGGGCTCGGAAGTTGTGGCACTAAAAATGGTAATTTTTAGCTCCTTAATAAGCACTAAAAAACTCTAAAATATGCGCTATAAATAGCACGAAAAATCAAAAAATATGCATTTAACTTGAAAAAATTATAATTATAAATTTATTACAAAAAAAAAATTAAATGTTATTATTTTATTAATTATTATTCATTACAAAAAAAAATTATTATAATATAACTATTAATACATCGGACCGTCGATGAATTGTAGAACTGTAAAAACATGAAATATTATTCGCTTTATTTCCAATAATTTGAATATTTTTAAAAATATAACCAAATAAAATCATTATTTTCAACTAAATGTGGTTATTTTCCAAATTATCTGATAATATACCCAAAAATAGCACTAAAAACCTTAAAATGGCAAAATAGCAATAAAAATCATATATATGCAAAAAATGGCAAAATAAAATTTCGTGTATGACATCAGATAAGTGTGAAACATATTTGTATCTTACTTTGGGTGTTCTAGGACAAACCAAAAAAAATATGCATTTGCCACAACTTCCGAGCCCTGCTAATGATGTTTTTTGATTATTTTTGAATATTTTTTAAATTTTTGAGAGAATATAATGAGAATATTTGAAGGTTTTTTAGAGAATATTAGCATCATAATTTGGGTATTTTAAGAGAATATAAATCCGGACTTTAGTTATGAGTTACACCAAAAACCAAAATTGATTTTGTAGAAAATCGATTTTGCATAAAAATTCCCGTTTTTCTTAATTTTTAGGTGTTTCTTCCTTGAGCTTTTGAAAACTATTGGGAGTTTTAAAATTATACCTCTTAACTGCACCAACTAGATTCACTTTCCCATCGATCAAGATACTGTTGAAAAAAATCGAAGCAGTTTTACTGCCCCAAACCGTGATGACAGACACAAAAAAAAAAAAAGGTGGGCAAGTAGGTGTCGCTCTGCTGTACTACAGTAGGTTACAAGTGGGTCATTGTATAATGGATGGTATTAAATTTGAATTCAATGATATAATATCATTGTATAAGAAAAACGATTCTGAGCGGAGACGGTATGTCCTTCTAGGTATAAGACATATTATATACATATCTATGGTATTAAAAAAAATTGACCTATAATGAATTCCAAATTAATCATATCACAAAATCCATTAGGTACTTATAACGCTTTATACACCAACAAAAAACCCTGATACTATCATAGATATATATAGTAGATTACTTTAGAAACTTCAAGTACCCACGAATAATATATTATACAATCACAACAAAATAACTAAAATCGTAATTCTTGGTTTAAATATGAAATTTTGTCTACATTTGAAATTAAAATGTCTGTAAAAAATAAGTGTGTTTATATATTTTTTAGATTTTTTGGTTACAGTATGAATTATTTAAGAGAATCTTTGTTTTAAATTTTCAACTCTTAGTTATAAAAACTGAACATTTTATAATTTTTTAATTCCAACGATTGATAATTTTCGAGATTTTGATAAATTTTGTCAAAATTCCAACTTTAAATGCTTATAAAAAAAAATCGTGCCTATGTATTTTTAAAATTTTTCAACTGATATTGTAACAATATATAAGAAAGCTTGTATTAAATTTTCAGACTTTTTGGCCCACCAAATAAAATTTT